ACAATAGGAGTAGAGTTTACAAAAGAAACACTAACATGGAATCAGGCACAGACAAACACTATTAGGATCTAACGTGGTGCTCGAACCCACAACATAATTTTTCCCTACTTAATTATTTGAAAGGCATAACTACATTCATCATACACGATACCCAATGTCAAGACACAAGATACAAAATATCAGGCCACAAGAAACAAAATATCAAGACACAAGATACAAAATACAGGACAAAATATTACATACAGAGATGTACAAAAATACAATATACAAAATACACTAACAGTATACTCAAGTTAGTCACATACTCACAGCAAATATACTTCACAAGAAATACACTTGGCAAAAGCAATAGTAGTTTAGTTAACAATTAGAAAGCAAAGTCAACAAAGTAACATCTGAGAAATTTTTTAACTGGACTCGTAACAAGACCTGAACCAAAGAGTTGTATTTTTTTACCCAGACAGAAGTAGCGACCAGCTCTATAAAATTAACAAGCATTCTGGAGTCGTAGACAAAACTTCATCAGGCACACTTAACTTACGGAGAGGGAAAACCAATCCCAAGCTAACATAGATTTTAGGGTAGATACCAACATACATAGGTCGACAAGACAAACCCTACCAATACAACTCAAGAGATGAATGGTGAAGATGAGCACGAACAGAACTCTTCCGGACAAACTGTCCAAGGCGAAATCTCCAAACCGTCTGCCACCTGCTCCCGAAACCTCCTGTCACCTCGCCGTTCGGGTGAGTTCGGCTCGCCGGTGCGGTGGAGCCGATTTCTTGCCGGGAGTCGTCAGGGCTAGGTAGGCCGCCAGTCGCGCCGGGGAGCATGGAAGGAGGATGGTTGCCTATCTTGCAGGCGCTCCGAGGCTGGGCGCGTGACAAGTAGAGTGTTGCGTTTTGGAAACGAAAGTGTTGCCTCGTCCTGGTCAGCAGCGTGTCGAGCCTCCCAGTTCGTGCCCCGCCTCTTATTCGCGCGTGCCGCGGGAGGGGCGCGGCAGCACGGCGGCGCTGTTCTCACGGCTGACTCGGCGGGACGCGACACGCACGCGGTGGCCTCACCCGCGACGCCGCGCGATGCTTTTACCGAGTCAATTCAGTCAGGCGCGAGGCGTCGCTCCAGTCCACACCCGCGCCGCCCATGGCATCTCCTCTTAGAGCCAGCGCCAAGTCCCACGCGATGAGCTCAAGTCCTTTAGCATCAAACACGAGTTTTGTACAAGTAGAGAGTGAACTATGACTAGCTGTTTGCGGGAGTCCGTCCGGTCCGAGCGCCAAAGGGCCCTCGCGGTCCACCTCGAGGTCTGCTGGGCCGCGGCGGCGGCGGCGGCGTTGGCTGGTTTCAATGGCTCTTGATCTCGCCCAAGTTGTGCAGTTAGTTGTTTCTCCAACCCCGGCCCCGGCCCCGGCCCGGCCGCGGGGGCGCTAATGCGTCCTGATTGGTGGATAAGCCCGGCCCAAGTCGGTCATGTTGGCCGAGCCGAGCAGCCAGCCGAGCCCGGGCCTTTTAATTTGGACGGCCGTTTGTTCCCCTTCTTGGCGTCGCCGGGCAGGGAAAGTTTGATCCCGGGGGGTGGGCGCGGGGGCCTGCCGAGGCTCTGGGCCTTATCTGCGGGCCCAGGCGGTGAGGTGGTGGACGGGTCCTCGGCGGCCGAGTCATGCTGGGAGTGTTCGCGGAAGCGCTGACTCGCGGGGAGCGCGGCCGGCTGCCTGCCACACGGCTGCTGCTGGACCGGGAGCATTAACCAATTGAAAATACCTCCCCTCCTCCCGTCTCTGCTTACCCTCCCTCCCTCCCCCTCCTGCTCCTCCACACTGCCCGCCCGCGCCGCCACCGCTGTTCCCTTTTATCAGTTGAATTGGCCGCGGCGGCGGGCCGCCCCCCGCGACGCGACGGAACCAGGACGATCAGGCCCTGCTGCGAGGCGACACGACGGCTCGCCGTGCCTGCTGCAGAGTGTCACTGCAGAAGTAGTGGGCGTTAGTTTCGAGCAAAAAATCTTATTCCAGAGGCTGGAGAGAGTCACTTGCACCGGAAAGTTCCGTCTGTAAAGGCAATACACCACAGTGTTGCGGGTTTGCCTACCCGATCTGCCTGTAAGGCGCCATAGCCCCTTGGGCATGCAAACCCGCAACACTTGGTATATTAGCCTTTACCCTCGGTACAGTCTTTTTCCATTGGCCGAAACAGCAAGCCCTGCCCCTTAGGCCTGCTGATCGACACAGCATATCGCCTCTCTGCTGTGCCGAGTGAGCAATCAGCCGTCCTCTTGGACGCTCGCGTCGTCTTGTCGTCAATACACCCCTTCTTGCCCACCACCCTCGTGCCATAGCCGCGGAATGGTCGCGTGGCGGGGCGGGGCGCGTTGGAGGGCGGCCATCCCGGCGGCGCCACAGTACCTGGGGGCGACATTACTGCTGCTTGACGCTACAAACTAGCGCGCGTTACGGCGGCGGCCCTCGGTCACGTGCCCCCATAAAAATCACATTTTGTGTAAAATAATGCGTCCGGGCAGAGCGCGTTTTTATGTTTCCCAATTTTTTCGCTCGCTGTGCGAAGAGGCAGCGGCAGGGCACAGCGGGCCGAGAGAGGCTTTCGGTTAGGGGGCTGTTCGGCTGTTCCTGCCGCGCGCGCCTGCTCTGCCCGGCTCTGCCCGGCTCTGCCCGGCTCCGTGCGGTCTGCACGGCAGTATCGTAAATCTTATCACGGCGGCGGTGTGCGACGCTTGTTCATTGCCCCCCCCCCCCCTCCTCATACGCGCGCGGCCCGAACGAACAGGCGTCCCCATTCTTCTGCCGCGGTGCTGCTGCGGTTCGCTCCGCTCCACGACGCCAACTCCACCTTTTGCAGTTACGTACTGTACTGTACTGCCCGGTGAAAAGGGTTATTTTCGCGCTTCGAAAGTCGCCCCCACCTCCCTTTGCTCCAACGCTAATTCGCCGCGGCTCTCCTCCCTGCTCTCCTCCCTGCTCTCCTCCGTGCTCTCCTCC